AAATAACACTTTCAAATCATTAATGAAAGGATTCGGAAGTCTCGGAAGTTTTGAAAAGTTTTGAAATTTATTTTCTGTGAAAATCAGAATTGACTTTAGAATTGAACTACATCCAAAATGTGTATTGAACCATTTTTGATCAACCAAGCCTAATATATATGTACCACAAATTCAGATAAGAAAAAAGCTCAAATGATGTTCTCATCTGTTTTATTACACCAGTTCCCTTCCATTCTCTCTTGGCTCTTTCCCTATCTTTTTTGGACCATGTCCGAAGAAAACACCAGCAGCTAATTTGAAGCCTCCTATGATGCATGTCCCTCTCTGAGCTTGGCAATATGCCCTTTTGGCTTGGTTGGGGAACATGCAGCTCCAAGGAAGAAGAGGAGAAAGAACATTGGTGGGCATTAAGAGTGGGAAATGTGAGTTGAACATGTGGTAGATACTAATCTGTCTCCTCTTGGCCTCCATTAGATTAAATGTGAAGAGGAAGCAAATTGAAGGAAGCTGGTGAGGAAAAGAAGGAAGCAAAGCTTAGAAAAATCCCCTCTCTGGAATACAGCTTCTGGAATCTTCCATAAAGCATGGCCACTGGGATTTGTAGACCCCCATGTGACCTTTTCCTAAGCTCTGATAGGGGATAGGTGTACCTTGTAACCACTTGCGGAGGAGACTGATCAGTATCTAACTTGTGATTTCCACTAATTGGAGAATGACCCAGGAAGGGTTTGTAGACACCTAAGACTTGGACTGACAATTATAGTCATAAAGGACCATCCAGTCTAACACCCACCAATGCAGGACCCTTTAAATCATTCCTCTTTCTCATTGTTGTCCTCTGTGTTTCACCCCTTACAGGTCAACGCTGGGAAGACACTTCCCAACCCAGGGAACATTTATTTCCAGAACGAGGGCTACAGCGACCTGGGTGATGAATTGCCCAAGACCTACGAAGGACAGACCGTGAACTACAAGCAGGCTTCCACAAGGAGTGAGAGAGATGTGGCAACCAGGGACACTGTGGTGGCCAACTCAGTGGGCAAGTTCAACAACCAGGGAGGCCAGGCCAAAATGAACCCGGCCCCCAAGGAGCAGGAGGAGGGCATCAAGGCAGCTCTCCTTAATGGCAAGACCCTCGAGCAACTGGGTAGTATTCCTCCGTGTCCAGAAGAAACAGTCTTGTCAAAGGACTCCCAAGTGGGAGAGGCCCTGGTGGAAGCCCAGCCACTGGTGGAGGCCTTGGTGGAGGTCCAGGTGGTGGGAGAAGAAGACAAGGAGGTCCTTCCTCCTGAGACCTCAGAGGGCAATGAGGAAGAGCAAGTAGAAAGCACCTCTGGGGAATTGGAGGAAGCATCTCTCCAACCTCAGCTACTGAAGGAGGAGGAAGATGCTTGGTCTTCACAGGAAGGCAAGATGGAAGCCAATGGAGACACAAGCCCAATGGGGTCTGTTGCTGAAGGTTCCCCCACTGATAGTAACTGCCTGGACAGTGAAGGGGGCAAGGAGCACACAAATCTCACAGAAGAGGTCAACGGGAGTGTGACCGCTTCACCTGTCACCTCCGACATCAACACCACAGTAGACCCGGAAATCAATGACACAGCCAATGTCACCGATACAGTAAACCTGGAAGTCAATGACTCCCTGCCCCGAAAGGACCCTGTGACCCTGCTGCCGACCCTGAAAGAGCTCCCCAAGCAGCTCTCGGAAGAAGAGGACGAGGACGAGGAGGATGGGGAGCTGACCCCGAAAGCCATGTCGCCAACATATCAAGACCCGCTGGCATCACTGCCCGTCAGTGATGTCAGGATGCCAGTGACTCTTTTGCAACTTCTGGAAGACTCCATAGAGTGCTAGTCTGCCCTGGATCCCCTTTACTATGGGGCAGGGCCAGAGAGACTGAGGATGGACTGCAACTCCTCAACACAAGAGATGTTGGGCCCTTGTATGGTCTTGATGGGTGTCGCCTGGATTCCAAGACTTGGGTTGAGGCTGCGAGGACTCAATTTCTGACAAAAATGCACACTTTTGAAAAATTCACTGGTTTGCCAGGGATGAAAATAGGTTGTTTTCCCCCTCGTTGCCTGTTTGATGCCCTTTTATAGAACTTCAAAGCACAGGATAGAACCAATACCTTGCAGCTGGCGGGTAAGCCAAGGGCAGCCATTTTGGACTACAGGGGTAGCGAAATTTTCACTCCATGTCTCCTTTTCCAGTGGGCCACAATGTCACATTCAAGGTGCACATACACTATAGAATGAATGCACCTTGATGGCACTTGAACAGCCATGGTTCAGTGTTATGGAATCCTGGGATTTGTAGGTTTATTTGGCAGAAAAGGCTAAAGAACTTATAAAATTACAATCCTAGATGTCCATAGTATTGAGCCAAGGCAGTTCAAGCGGTGTCAAATAGGGCTGGGCGGTTTCGTTTGTTAATTTCATAATTCGTTATTAATTCGTTATTTTTTTTGGTAACGAAGCGATATTGAACCATTCAGGAGCAACTAAAAATCGAAACGAATTTTTCAATTCGTTTCGTAATTGTTTCGTAATTGTTTCGAAATCGTTTCGAAATCGTTTCTTGTTATTATTTCCGCATGTCTGGTGCAAGTTTTATAGTTGTTGTTTGTTTTATCAGTGAAAAAATATATATAATTATCACACCAACAGTCAACAACAGAGGGAGAGGGAAGCTTCAGAAGTTCCCCCTGTCCCATTTGGAGGTTTTTTTAGCGTATTGCGCGGTCGTGTCCGCCATTAACGAATCGATTCGTAATTGTTTCGTAATTTCCGAAATTTTGTAAATTTCGAACTTTTTTAAAGAAAATTTCGGAATTCTTTTAAAAATCGAAACGCAAAAACCCCCTAAAAACGAATCGAGTTTAGAAACAAATTTTTCCGTGGTTGCCCAGCCCTAGTGTCAAACTGCATTCATTCCCGAGTATAGATGCACCCTAAGGCCCACCAGAAAGGTTGGTATTTTGCTTTTTGGATGCCATGTTGGCTCCTTTTCAGCTGTTTCATTAGCATTTTGGGGTGGGACCTGGGGCTTCCTGAGGTAGCGAAACTATACGGACACATTTGCCATATTGGGGGTGAAAAACCCAATGGGGAATAGGTACCTTTTCAACATTCCTTTGGAGGGCAGTAAGTGTTCAGGGACTGCATAATTGTGGTTCAGGGCCACACTTTTCTCACTCTAGTTTATAGCTTATTTAGATTTTTTTACTCCTAAATTCTGAGCATTTTCCCAGCTTATTTTACCCCAACATCTCAACAGTGGCATGCAAAGTGGCGTCCCTTTTTTAATATTAGGAAATACAGAACAATTCTCTTATCTACAGACTTCCCAGACGTCTTTACGGGCCTTTGTAGGTTCTCCACTGCAATTCTATGGTATGCCTGTGTCATGAATGACTTTTCAATAACTTTAAAGCATAGGTTTAAATCACAGGAGATATGATAGCCATGTATAAATACATGAGAGTAAGTCATAGGGAGGAGGGAGCAAGCTTGGTTTCTGCTGCCCTGGAGAGTAGGACGCAATGGAGCAATGGCTTCAAACTACAAGAAAGGAGATTCCATCTGAACATTAGGGAGAACTTCCTGACTGTGAGAGCTGTTCAGCAGTGGAACTCTCTGCCCTGGAGTGTGGTGGAGGCTCCTTCTTTGGAAGCATTTAACAGAGGCTGGATGGCCATCTGTCAGGGGTGCTTTGAATGCAATATTCCTGCTTCTTGGCAGAATGGGGTTAGACTGGATGATGGCCCATGAGGTCTCTTCCAACTTTATGATTCTATGATTCTAGGATTCTTTTTATTGCAATTTCCAGTGTGAGAGGGTATATCAGATTACAGAAAACATTTAGCCAAAAAATGGCATTGGACATACAGACATACAGATTCTATGCAACTGCATTGGGTGTACAATAACTTACAGTTACATTGGACTAACAAACAAACAAAGGGGAATACATTTTCACTCAGCATTCACACCACATGTACACGCATTCATCCTCAGGCATTCAAATATTCTCATATCCTTTTCTCCCTCCTTGGAGAAGCACCTCTTAGGCCAGACCCTGATTTCCTGCAACCTGCCAACATATAATTCCATAATTTCCATAACACCAAAACGTCAAAACGCCGAAATGCCAAAACTTCTTTCCCTAAGCACAATGCCAAGGACCAGATCTGTGTTTTCCATACAGCAGAACCTGACTCCCTGCACAAAATCTAAGACTCCAAAAGTGCACTTTTTCCTCTTCCCTTGAGAAAGAAGCCCCAAAGGGACCAGACTGCTCCTGTGCAAATCTGGCACTCTCCATAGGTACACTGTCTCTCTCCTTCCCATGGAGCAGAGCATAGCGGGTGGAGCAGACTCCTCAGGTCTGCCACACTTTGAGCATTATTAGACTGAGTCTTTTATAGGACTATTCTGCTGATGTCATCCCAAAGTTGTAAATTAATGATAGACGTCTTCCATCCAGGATCCATCTCAGTTTCCTGGCCAGATGTCGATCTTCTTGGTTGGTGATCACAAACACAAGGCTTGTGTTGACTTTCTTCTTAACAATGTAAACATTTCTGTTATCACTGTTCCAGTTCTTATCAGAGTTTACTCTTCAGTTCTTATTAACAAGTTTTAATCACAGTCCAGAAAGCAGGAAGTTAGTTAGTTATTGCAGGTCTTAATATTGTACTGGTGTTTCCAAAATTATTAACTCCATCCATACATCTTCCATTCATTCTCACACATCACTATTAAATCCACATTTATAAAATCTGCACGTTAAATTTTAATGACACTTGTAGCCCAGATAAACGGAGAGATAGGGCACAACATGATCCGTGGTTTTAGGTTCCTCCCACCATGTTCTACTGTTGGACTGTCAGGAAGTTCTTCCTAATGTTTGGGTGGAATCCCATAATTTGAACGCATTGGTTCATGGCGCAGTCTCTGGAGCAAGAGAAAGCATGCTTGCTCCTTCACCTATATTACAGCCTTTGAGAAACATTAAACTCTCGTATTCATGGTCGATACATTCCTGAACTTAGCTCAGATACAAGAAGCCATAGATCAAAATGAGCTCTATTGAAAAAAAGGGTCTCTCATCCAAAAGTATCATAAAGTTGCACTGGAGGACCTAGAAAATGTTTAGAGAGGATAGCATTCATTGGATGTGGGCAAAAAAAAACCAAAAAGAACCCATGGGTACAGGTCCCATGGACAATGTATTAAAAGATAACTGTTGTATCACCTCTCCAAGACAACACATGTTGAAGACAGCTGTGTATGATAGATGCCTTATTTGTTTGTGTGATGTTACAGAAGGAATCAAGATGAGGGGTGGAATCTAGGCCCCTTCCTCCTCACAAAGCCCCAATCCATCCTTATTTTCCCAGTTTCTATAATATTGTGTGAAGCAAATTGGGAGAAGTTTCTAAAATGCAGATCAGAAGATACCCACTTGTTCTAGGGCACTCCGCCCCATAACTCAAGAAGAACTGTAGAGGTTCCTCACCCACTATGAGATCTACTGTTTATCCTCTTTACTTGCCCATTTCCTCAGACCTTAGGTTACTTCTCCAAACCTACTAATATTAAGTTGTCTACTATTCGCCTTTGAGAAGGAGATTGCATTCAAGGTGGTTGAGAAGATGGAGAACTGGGTTGAGTCTGTTTTCCATTTGTCCCACCAGCATCTTCCTGGTTTTACCCTTAAGTAACCTGTTTGAGAAAATTGCAAAAGGGAGAGGGGGGATTTGCAATGCAAACGTGGACAAAGAACCATCTTTGTGCTCATCGTTCTCGTATCTTGAGTTAGCAAGCTTTTTGTTCCTTGCTCCCAAAGTCACCTCTGAATGAGAAGAAGCAAACATAAGTCCTTGGATATCATCTCTGCCATCTCCTTGTCTATTTATATTTTCCAATTAAAAATGTTTTAAAATAAAAAGTGTCCCATGACTTTTGTACCATGATGCCTGGAGGGGGGAGGCAGGGGAGAAATTTTGGTCACTGCAGAGCAAGAGGTGGCTACCAGAAAACTAAGCCTTGGCCATCTTGGATGAAGACCAACCAGAGTCATTCTGATGGCCACCAAATGATGAGTGAAAACTAGCCTTGGAGAAAGAACAGCCCTAGCTATAATAAGGGCCACCAAATGATGAGTGAAAACTGAGTATCAGCTGTCCAGGGGTTAGAAGAATTGGAGTTATAATGATAGCTGCCAAATGAGTCTTGGCCACCTTGTAGTAAAGCCAACCTTGGTTATAATTTTTGTGTGTGTGTCAGGAGCAACTTGAGAAACTGCAAGCCACTTCTGGTGTGAGAGAATTGGCTGTCTGCAAGGATGTTGCACACGGTGTCATGAATGACTTTTCAATAACTTTGAAATAACTTCTTCCTCTTCCCTTGAGAAACAAGCCCCAAAGTGACCAGACTGCTCCTGTGCAGATCTGCCACTATCCTTAGGTACACTATCTCTCTCCTTCCCATGGAGCGGAGCATGGCGTGTGGAACAGACTCCTCAGGTCGGCCACACTTTAAGCATTTTTAGACTGAGTCTTTTATAGGAATATTCTGTTGATGTAGTCCCAAAGTTGTAAATTAATGATAGATGTCTTCCATCCTGGCTCCATCTCAGTTTCCTGGCCCGATGTTGGCTGCTACTTCCAAAACTAACAAAATGAAGTTCAACAGTGACAAATGCAAGATACTCCACTTTGGCAGGAAAAACGAAATGCAAAGATACAGAATGGGGGACAATGCCTGGCTTGAGAGCAGTACGTGTGAAAAAGATCTTGGAATCCTCGTGGACAACAAATTAAACATGAGCCAACAATGTGATGTGGC